AATGATATGGACTGGAGGACAGCATAGGAGAGAGTTTGATATTGAGGGGGTACACAGCTTAATAATTTAAATACAACGGTCTGTTTATTGGGGGCCAAATTAAATATTAGGGGGTATAAGCCCCCACCGCACTCCGGTTTCTGTGCCCCTGAATACCCAGTGAAAGGTTTCCTAAGGTGACATTCTCCATTTTCTGTGGTCTGGTTGGAAACGCAAATATTAGAGCTCAGTTAAGCAACCATTACATTGGGTTAGTTATGGCAAAGCCAGTGAAGGGTGTGGCTTCAGGGAATGAGGGACGGAGGGGAAGCCTGGGACTGGGAGGGAGGAGATGATGGAGGGACGGTGATCTCTGAGGAGTCTAAGACTAAGGTCTGCTTAGGACAGTGTTTCTCAAGCCGGTCCTTGGGGACCCGGAGATGGTCCACATTTTCGCTCCCTCCCAGCTTAGGATCCCTGAAGACTGGTTTCAGAAACAGGGGCTTAAGGTGGAGTGAAAGCCCTGAGCCCATTAGATGATGGTATGAGGGGCCGTAGCTGGTTCCCGGTATTGGTGGGGGTGAGGGGTAATCAGCAGCTTGTTAGCAGTTTGCTACTGCAACAGGCTGCCAGTGAGACCCCCCCCACAGAGCTGATTTGTTAAACTAACTGGGAATGCTGGGATATATCACATCAGTCAACAGCAACTAAAGCCAGAGTCTCCCCCGCTGTCCAGGATGATGGCATTTAAAGGAGCTCTAATCTGCGCTCGCTTTTGGTGTCATTGGCAAACAGACCCCCCCCCTCCACCGGGACCCCCCTCTACCCGCAGTGTGTCTCCTCACAGAGATCCCGCTCTTCTCCTGTTCCTGGAACATGAACACTTGGATTTTGCCCACATTCACCATGAGCATTCCCGTTAATCCAAGGCAGCCATCCCAACCGTCACTAAGAGCACCACGGATGCAGACGCAGGTGGTCTGCGCAGACGTTACGCAGTCAGAGGGCTTCCGGTGCCGCCCAGGGCCTGACTGCTCTGCCCGCGCTCGCCCTCTTTGATGTGCCAGCAGAGCATCTCATGTGGTAAATTAGGCTAAGCAGAAATAACAAACAGACCGCCGTCTCCTTTCTGCGGTTCCTGTGCTGCTCCTCTTCCCTAATGTCACTGCATTAGGAGGGGAGACGCTCTGGCTGAACGGGGTAAACAAGAAATAACTTAGACGTCGCCCCCCTGTGGGCTGACCAAGGAAAAATATTATCCTACTTTGAATTAAGTTTCCTGGCGAGAAAATATAATGGTGGCCCTTCAGTTTGTGAGAGCCATCTGATAGCTTCTCCTCCTACCTTGGGGACTGTACTACATCTTACAAACTCCTGAGCATCTGTTTGGTGACTCGTGGCTTCAGTGGCATGTGGCTGGGTGAAGATTTGTCGGGGGGTGGGGGGGGGGTGCATGGACCCTAAAGAATGCTGCATTAAATTTGCAAGCATGCGAGCTTTGAGCAACTGCAAGCCCCAAGCTTGTGCGGCCAGTGGGTCCTTGCTCTGAAGGGAGCAGGGGTCTGTGCAGACATCTTAAGAGGAAGATGCGGCTGATTAAATCCAGAGTAATGGCACAGTAAATTTAAGAAGAGAATGCACAGTAAATTTAAGAAGAGTGAATCTTTAGGTCTATGAACTCACCCCTTGGCAATTACACAAATTAGGCAAATGGGGGAATATCACGATGAGTTAAACAGAGCTCCCTATCAACTGGCATCAGCTAATCTTTTATCTGTAGGGCTGTTTGTTCTCCCAGATTTGTGAGCCTGAGAGATGAGGTTTCAGGGTGGGGGGGGGGGTCCCTGACAGAGTCCTGATGGGGCTGAGAGGTGTTCCTGGGATTACCTACTAACACGCCACGCATCGGGGGGATTTGAGGATATTAGCGCCAGGGCCCCGAGGAGCCCCCCTGCGGGGCCACACACTGGGCTCTGATTAAGAGGGAGGTGGCAAAATATTTCTCAGGGGCTGGAGCCCCAGCACAGCAGGGGCCCCAGTGCTCAGAGTGGCAAGCGGGGCCCACCCGGCCTGAGCCGAAGGGAGGAGCTACCCCAGCATGCCCGGCTGACTGTAATTGGCCGCAGACGGCGGTTTGAAGGGCAGCCCCGCCTCCACCGCCCCGGGGCACAACCCGAGGGCCAGAGCCAGCTCTCACATGAAAGACGCTTTATAACATAAACATATTCTTTCATTAAAGCGCCGTGTGGTACCGGCTGGTCTGTGGAGTGACCCGGGAAAGGAGCAGAGAGGAGGCCTGGAGGGGGGGGGGGGGGGGGGTTGTATTTGGGGGCTTTAACGGAGATCAGCAGGGGGACAGAAACCTGTTTGCATGTGCTGACCTCTGACCTCTCAGGCAGGCCAAGGGCTGCGGCCGTACGCATCCACACAAACACCTTTAAATACGTTTTTATGAATATTTTGGAAAAAGAAAAAAGATTTTCTAACAGAATGGTGATTTAAGTCTCTTTCTGAGGGGTATTACTGGGAGCCATCACACGGCCTAGGCACCAGGTGTTCTGCCAATACCCACCCATGTTCAATGAGGGCAGAGTGAGCACGCACCTCCTGAGGAAAGCAGCAGCGCCCCCCACAGGGCTGGAGTGTCCGGTGCAGCCTGCACAAACAAACCCCGCAGATACGGTCGCCTGAGAGTCCGGCCCGGTAAAGTCGCACCTTCTGAGGGGGCAGCCGACACACAGGAGACGGCTATGAAGGTGTCCTGCAGGAGAATGGCGGCGTCTCCCTGAAGCGTAGATGCATGTTTGTTTTGGTCTCAAACGTCATTGTCACAGCAGGGTCTGCCCCTTCTGCATATTCATCCTCCTGGTATTCGTCACTGCTAATGAGCTGGAGTGATTGTCCATAACGCAAACGACACAAAGGTGTCATCGCCTTCAGCTGAGAAAACAAATAGCATCCATCTCGAGAGTGACTCACTGGCACGACCCAGAGGGAGTCACAGTCACCGGCCTCCCGAGACCAGACTCTGCGAGGCTTCAAATATCCCGTCCCCGCGAGGAGCAGACATCTCAGTTTTAAACTGGCAAAGCTGAATATGAGTAATTCAATCCTGTATCTCAAGTGAAAACAAAACACAGACTGTGTCACAGCCTTCCCAGCCAGTCTGTTAAGCACGTAAAGATGGCAGACAGAGTTTCATCTTCAAACAGGGCCATGCTCTCTGCCTAACTACACTCATTTACTTCTTCGTTTCGTATATTTTGTTATATTCAATAAGCGCATCGCCAACGTCCGCCAGGCAGTTCCTTCATATTCCGTGTTTCCACGCTCGTTTTTCCGGCATGTTCCTCCTGTATTCCCTTTCTTTCCCAGCTCACAGGCCTCCACATTGTAATTCCCTCCACCTCACTTCCTCTTGCCTGGGGACCCTTCCCTGGAAATCTTTCCTTTCCCTTCTTAAATCAACAGGGCAGACTGAGGCTCAGGCTACATCGCCCTCAGATCCGCTCAAACCTCCGAATGCTGCCGCCCGCTATGATCCGGGGATTTACGGCTACGGCGGGATCCAGGTGACGCTTCCTGAGTGTCTCTCAGGGTGCAGAAGCAGACAGATGTGTTTGTCTCTGCGAAACAGCGTCCATTTCTACATTAATGTGAGATTAAATTCAGCTTCTAAGACATTTTTGGCTCTGCTTGCTCCAATCGAGTCAAGTCAAGTGGGCTTTTATGTCCTACTATCCATGTACAGGTACACAAGTGCGACATACAGAGAGCGAGTGACAGGAGGGAGGTTTTCACAGGACAGTGTGAAGCGGGGGGGCTGGACACATGGTTTATATACACAGGGCCATCTGTATGTAACAAGAAGTAAGACCAGCGACGTAAAGGGATGGAATATAGTGGCTATAAATGATACATATATATGTGTCATGACTGCTGACAGATATATGCTCTCTGGGGCCTAGAAACTCTGTGTAAAGCAGAAGAGTTCGTGCTGAAGTTAAACCTCAGCAGACGTGTCCTCAGTGTCGGTATCCGAAAGAGCGCCCCTGGCTGGCGGCCGAGAGGAAATACACGTGAAATGTTTGTGAAGTAACGAGATGGCAAACGCTCTCGCTGCGCTGAGCACATTCTCCATTAGTCATAGTACGGCAAAGCAACTGCACCTTGGGATTCGCCCCCACCGCGTTCTCCGCTTGGTAATTCGATGCACTCCTTGCCCTTGAGGTGGGGATTGCCGTGATGCTAATCGAGAGCCGTGTTGTTCTTTCTCTGCGGTACTATGGGGAGGAATCAGTACAATGCAAGGAGATGCTAGAAGGTTCCGGAGACTGGAGGAACTTGCGCCTGTGTAGAGACGAGACATGCTGTCAGTCGCCAGGCTGGGATGAGGCTTCTGCTCAGCTGCCCCCCCCCCTCCCCCCCCAGCGTCAGTTGCCCCCTCTGCAGGTATATGAAGCCAAAGCAGAAGTAAACAAAGTGGAGGCAGGATCTTCAGATATAAGCATAAAGAAAATAAAACAGCAGATGTAGCCATGCAGCCGTAAGCCCAAGGTGGACATGCCTTCTGTTATTCTACTATTGATACCCGCTTGATGCAGATGATTGTGTTTGTCCTGGTAGCTTATCTGTAGCGCTGAAACCCCCTCCCACTAAGCAAGCTAGCTGTGCGTGTGTTTATCGCCTCCGTGATGGATGTCTGACCATGTGGCCGGTCCTCCCTTCTCTTGCCTCTTGATTACATGGCTGATATAACTCCTTCCTTCGGGGGACAGCTCAGTGAGATGTATAGTTTACTTTCGGAGGGTGCAGGAGTGTGCCGTTAAGAGGCGTCTGCCTCGCTTGATCCTCCAGCAAAGAACATATTTAGTTTAAAAACAGATGAAACGCGTGATGCAAGATTTTAATGTTTTTTTTATCTGACAGACTTCAATGCAGCCGGTCTTTTTCAGCTTCAGAAGAGTTTTGGAAAAGTAAGGTGACAAAGTCGATGACAGAGCATCTTACCGAGACGGATGAGGGCAACCCTGATATCAAATATTTATAAACGAAATATTTCAGGTTTCATGAACTACGTATGCAGTATGTGTCTGTGTGGTTGGGTGACAAAATGGAAAAATACCAGCTATTCATATTCAATTAAAATACAGGGCCTGTAGTGAATAACATCATAAACATAGCACCACAAAAAAATGCGATAAAAATACTGAGCATTTCACAAATTATACTTTTATATCACTGAAATGTAGACAAAACTTAACAAAATAGGCCGTAAGAACTGGAACAGAAACATTTTTCAAACAATAGCAAAAAAACATTTTTACTATGCAAAAGATACGCAAAAAGAAATAAAAGTAACATAGCGAATTTTATTTAATCTGTTAAAATTGAAACATAATTATATTACAAAAAATGCTAACCCGACGTTACCATAAACTGTAATTACAGTAATTGTATGGTAATTACTTAAAGTGAATTGTTTGGTACCTGTATGGCAATTAATTATGGCAAACTGTATGGTAATTAATTACGGTGAACTCCAAGGATAATTACACTGAATTGTGTGGTGAATATTTGTGGTGAATTGTACAGTAATTACAATAAACTTTACAGTAATTAATTATGGTAACTGTATGCAAATAGTTACAGTTAACTGTATGTAATAAAATACAGTGAACTGTATAGTAATTACATTGGATTGTAGGGTAATTAGGGTGAACTGTACAGTAATTACAGCAAGAAGCTACATCATACTTCAGGTTACACTTTGGTTTTTTTAGCCCAATAATTATCTGGACAAAAATTTCTAAAGAAATTAGTGCAGTGTTCAGTATGTATCTAAGCAGTGTACATGTAATGTGTACATATATTACACACATATAAAATAAAATATCCTTCTTTGGGATCCTCTTTAAACTTTAGTACTCAGGTTTGCCCAAACCATAGCAGAGAATGGGCTGTGTGCTACTAGATCTAGACATGCAATGGTTACATGTATAAAAATAAAGTCTTTGTAGCCCATGGCCAGAGCAGCCAGTACCGTAGGCCTACATTGTGCCTCCTGGTGCCGTATTCTGTCCTTAACCAGGCTCCCCACCCATTCACATGGCCCAGGAGATGTTGGCTGCGTGCTCCTTGGCCTTCATCCTGAGCACGGCGATACTGGAGGTCCTCCTCTCCAACTCGGGCTTCGTCTCGAAGGCGTGTCCGCTGGCCGGCGGGCTTAGCAGTGAATCACTAAAGAAGTTGTTCAGGGACATGTGGCCAAACTGATTCTGCTGGTTGGGGAACGCCATGTACCCGTGGTCCCCGCGAGGAGAGTGGGGGTAGGAGGGCACACAGGGGGGCGAGCCGCGAGCGATCATGCAGGAGGACACCACCGAACCGCCAGCCCCGGGGCCCGTCCACAGGTTATTGGAGATCTGTGGGAAGAGGCAGGGCTTATTGTGGCCATATGGATCTAAGGTTAAAAAATAATAACATCCTGAAGGGGAGGGGTCCATATCCACATGAGAATCTCAGAATCGTGAAGCGGAATGGAGAGACGGCTTCATGGTCTCTCACACACAGGCCAGAGAGGGCGGATAGACAGCACTCCGCCATCAATTTAACATCAGATATCTGGCATCATTACCTCAACCAATATAAACACAGCTAGCATTACTGCAAAGTTGCTTTTATTTTTAAAATATGTCCAGACTACGTTCTTGGAAGCATACAGCCCAAAAGGCTGGAATGCATGAACGCTGCTTCAGACAGAATCGAGACTCAGCTCTAAAGCGGTAATGCACTATAGTCCGCGCATATGAGAATCTGCCCATTATCAAAAGTTAACTGGTTAAACAATATTAAGAGAGATGGGTTTATTCTGCTGTTTATATGAAAAACACATGAGAAAGAATCGAAATTTTTAAACAGAATTTGTGTCTGGATGCTGGCCAGGCCACTGAGGTTACATGGTAGAAGGGTTCAGGCAATCAGAACTGGGCTCCTTTATTGATCATGTCAGTTATTGTGAGAGTAATCTACATATGTTACCCGGTGCCTTCTGCTACATTTAGCATTTAGCCTGTGCCATACATGACGTATAACAGCGAGGTTCCTGAGTGTCAAACTGCTGATTACGGCCTGTCAAGGACCACGGCGGCCGCTGTGACGCGCAACTGAGTTTCCACTCTTATAACAGAACAAAAACTGCTTAAAAATAAATAATAATAATAATAATAATAATAATAATAAAAACTACTTTTAAAGCGTGTGTGTGGGTGCCTCACGTATATTAAAACGCGATATGAATTGCCACCAGCCGAAAATTTAATTACATTAAAAACCCTGAAATGGATTTTTAGAATTTAATTTAGCCTCAGTTTGTTAGTCGTCTTTGTTTTGTGAAGTCAAACGGCCTCGAATGAAATCTAGCCTGAACCGCTTTGTCGCTGTGATAATACACGTGTACACAGCACAGTATTTAAATGGGCCTGTCTTAATGTGAACTGCAGCGGTAATGTGTACGATGCCCTTACCATAGCGCCATTTGCAACAGTATAATTCTAATTACACACATAAATGCTGCAAAGTAAATGTATTAGCCTATCCGTAAATCTAAATGAATTCAATGAGCATAAAGATATAAGAAATATACGCCACAAAAGCCGGCGGTGAACGGGAGCGTAACTTAGCAGCAACAGGCGGAGGTTTGAGTGGCCGACCGCATTATCGTGGTCCACTGCAGAAAACATTTTTAATAACCGTATGGTAGCAAATCGTTAATATTGTATCAGATACACGAAACGCGACTAGCTGAAACCATTCGTCATAAACAAATAAACACAAATAAAAACATTAAGTGAATAAATAAACAGTAAGCAAATCCATGGGATGAAATGGCCTGTTAAGTGAATAAGCGGGCTGTGGGTAAAGCCGAAAGCAGCCCTGCCGGTCCCGGACCCCACCTCCCCCCCCGTACCTGGGGGTAGCTCTCCGCCCGCGGTAATACCGATAAGTCGTAGGTCGCCGCGAAGTGGTTCTTGGCCTGCTGGATCTGTCCGTATCGCTCTCTTTTGCGCCATTTGGCTCTTCTGTTCTGAAACCACACCTGAATACGATGCAGGTAACCGCATAAACGTCATTATACTTATACGATGCAGGTAACCCCATAAACGTCATTATACTTATACAATGCAGGTAACCCCATAAACGTCATTATACTTCTACAATGCATGCAACGCCATAAACGTGTACAGGGGCTAGATTTTAATTATGCCGCTAATCCCGTAAACGTGTGTTAGACGTCTCCAAAACATAATGACAATGACGAATAAAATACATTTCGGGGATATGAAAAATATACCACACATCAAAGACACCAAACGGAATCTAGGAAGCAGAGGACGCTTGCCACAACTGATTTTTTTATACATTAAAATATGCCCCTAAAGTAAGCAGTTTCAAAGTGCAACAGTTACGGCGTGTGGTAGTTTTCTTACTAATCTCTCTGTAATTCTCTTTATAATCACACATCACCACAAGCTACAAGAAAGAAATCATTTTAAAAAGGCTTTTTAAAACAACCTGCCTCCGACAATAGGCATTTACGTATGGAAGAAAATAGGCCTACGAAATAAGCATGCGCATATAAAATGACACATAATCGTACTCTTGTGGTGCATTTAATCTTAGCGTTATTACGGTTTAATTTCACAGCAATTCAGTAACTGAACAAATAAGTGTGGTCCATACGATACTGTCATAAACCTAATATACGATAAAAAAAAAAGATTTAAAAAAATAGTGGCCTATAAGATACTGACTCATACGAATTAAAAAGCACCATTATATGTCATCCACTGTTTAAATTTTATTAAAACTGAAATTGAAGATGAAATAATTCCATTGAAGGAGGGTGTGATTTTACCTGGACTCTGGCCTCTGTGAGCTCTGTCCGCATTGCCAGCTGTTCCCTCACATACACATCTGGATAGTGGGTCTTCTGGAAGACCTTCTCCAGCTCTTCCAACTGCGCGCTTGTGAAGGTGGTTCTGTGGCGCCTCTTCTTGCTGCTGGACACGTTACTGTCGCACTTTTCCCCCAGGTCGTCTAGGTCGGGCTTCTCCTGACCTGCGCTCACCGGCGAGCCCCTCACGGTGCAGCAGGACTCCATGGACTCGCCGAAACTCGTGTGCAGAGGATCCTCCTCAGATTTCGGAGCAACATAAGTAGCTTCTCGTGCAGAAGAAAGTAAACAATAAGTAAACGTTATTTAACAAAAACAATGTGAATAAATAAGTATTGCGATTAGCCTATATGGTAGGCCTATATGTTATTATTCATATATATCAATTACATTTCTAAATAGCCTAATGCGAGGAATTGTCATTTTCAATTAACCGTTTTTGCAAAATTGCCTACAATTACACATGATGTATCATGCCAGTGAGTCCGTATATTAAAAGCTACAAACTCACTAAAATATTCACATTTGCTTCACCTTTTACCTCGATATGTGCACAATTTTTTAGTGGGTGGGATATGTTAATTTTATTCTTTATTCTCTATTATTATTAAATAAGTAAATATAGTTTAACTTAAATTAAATTAAGTAGTCTCGGGCCGCATTGCATCATGTCTGTCCGACATTTTATTTAATTTCCATGGGGCTGTCTCTCAGGCGATGGGTGTATTACATAAAAAATTACACCTCTCAAAAACTGAAGCAACACCAATAACGGTGAATATTGAAATGTATGCATGCTGTATTATACCACGCACGACAACAGCAGCGTCAATAACATGTATTGGGCAAGGGTAAATAATTCATGAAGCGCTTGTTAAAGTGTCATCATATGTCACCCACCATTTTGGTCTTCACAGGGAGATGCCCTCTCCAGCCTCGCGTGGGGATCCCCGTTTTGGATGCTGAAGGCCTGGACGCACTTGGGCGAGGTCTTGCTATAATACTGCACACTGTCCAGGTTCTCCATAACTTGATCCAGCGAGCCGCCCGATCCCATGTAATAATCGCTGCCTTTTATCACTTGGCTCTTCATCGAGAACTTCTCGGTCATAAACTCCATCATCGTCCGAAAGTTTCTCTTTTCATACGAAACGTCGACCTGAAGCAAGGCGACTAGCGGCAATGGGTCTGCAATGGGTACCTTCTTCAATATTTCGTCTTAAAGAAAGCCCAGGACTTTATATCACGAAAGTGCGATTCCCTGAAGCAGCCTCCCAACTTATGAATACGGAGCAGCGCAAACTCCTCCCAGATCCTTAATCCAAGCTAAGCAAGACTTTACCGCCCAGAAATAGCCCAAAGATAACAAATACTTAGGTTTTCATTTAAACAGCCTTTGTCATTCTTTGTAAAAGCTGCAAACCTGCATCAGCGCTAATTAACTGAATACTGTTTAAACATCCCAGTACATAAATCAGTACAAGTACTGAACAGGGAACGGTGTCCACAGAGTGCACTGCGATGAAAAACATTTAACATCTCATTTCTTTTCGATCTTAAATATAAAAAAAGCTTCCTTAATTTCTCAAAAAAGTTAAAATAACAGTTGGCCTATGGATAGGAGCTTTCTTCGGTATAGGCTACTTCAGGTAAAATCATTATCAGTTAATTTAATTTATGGTTTAGCGTTATAAAATATTTAGTATGAATACACTTTTAATATTCAATTAAATGAATCGGATACAGCTGACAGTATTTGTGCTGCATTTACAATTTAGTTTTTACTTGCAAGATGAATTTAAACAGGGCCAAATTTAGCAGGCATTTAATTAACACCTCTGATTGCAGAAGCAGACTTGTGGGATACCAAATCCTGAATTAATTGTCATGCAAGTATAGATCCAGTATTAAACAAATTATTTCATTAAAAAAAAAAAATTAACATTTTTTCAAGTGACATGGGGGGGGGGATAACTCAGTCCAATATACACAGCGACTGGCTGGAAATAACTGAAGTTTTAACAGTTGCTAAATTTTAAGACACTCCACGAAAATGTGGAAAGTCGGCCGAATCTTGGACTTTAGTTATCTGTTATGAAAAATAACGACTTTTAAGCCAAAAGCAAAGAATTATGGGAGAATAATTAATTTCTACAAACATATATGCGCGCTGGGGTAACAGAGCGAAATTAATTAGTTCGTTTCAATGGATGTGTCGAAAGTTAAAAACACTAAATGTAAGGCCCAAAATACACTACGTAATGGTAGTAAACTTTACTGCAAATTACTACAAAAACGAAAATTGACGAAATGAGACAAAAAAAAATCCTTTATATATCTGTTGTGAGTTAAGCGATTTGGATATTGTGGAATAAACTGCGAATATACACATGCAAACATTTTAATATTGTAAAAGAAATTATGAAATAAAATAATAATAAATTAAACAGCTAAATTAAAGAATGAGATCGAATGACCGGCCGCACACCTGTCTGCGCGAGCCTCGGCCTGCAGTCTTAGATCTTACCATATTTTTAAATGCCTATTTCCACTTAATTTATAGGCTTGTTTATCAGAACAGACGCCTCAGTTCTCGGCAGAACCTTAAAAATCAGTGTTTCCATTAAACGTGCAATTAAAGGACACGGTGGAATAAAACTGATTTTTTTTTTTCGAAATACACACATGTCGATGAAATTAAGCTGCGAGTAACTTTTGTGCCGTGGGCAACCGTACATTTTTGCATTCCTTAGAAAGATTATAAAAGGTCTTGGTTCCTGAAACTGATGAAGTGTTACAAAAGCACTTTGAAATTGACTAAGATACAGCGCAGACAATGCTAAATCGGGACGTGAGGTTGAATTCTCCATTAATTGGAACTCAGTTGTCTATTAATAATTAAAACCAGGCTATTACAAAATGTTCGCATATATATGTATATATTTATACATACACACACACGTTTTTCTATATATATTTCTATACATATTTCTATATATATATTATATATTATATTATATATATTATATTATATATATTATATATATATTTCTATACATACACACACTGTGTATATATGTTGAGGATTATCCTGTGGATTTATTTAAATACAAAAAACCTGCTGGTAACTGAGCTGGGTGGATCTTTTCGATTTGATGGTTTTCATTTTCTGACCATTTCATTGACATATCGCCGTTTTCTGGCTGCGCGCGCGCCGCGGCCGACAGGCCCGGAGTGTTGAATCCCTGAGCGTTTACCGGCAAAATGACCGGGGGTCCTCGGTAGAGTGGCGGATGCTGCCAAGGGCCAACAGCTTGGCCCGGTTGGGGGCGCGGCGGTGAGCTTTGTCTAGGGCGCCGCATGGGTTTCGGCCGCTATTGCCTGGTTAGCAGCTGAAATGTGACGAGCTTTTACTTTTCGCTGCGGCGCTGCGTTACCTGCAGTGAACATTTCGCGTCTAACTGCAGAGTGAACTGGGGATCACAGTCGTTAATATCCCGTTATGCATATCAGCACAGGGTGTCCCGTTCCTTACATTGTTATTTCAGGACACGTGAACACATTACCTGCGTCCAGAATGCTTCTGGATTAAAGGAATGCCTGTTTTTTTCGATGACAGATAAATAAAATAAACAAAATGTTAATACAACTTGTAGGCTACAAAGAATGTTCCATAAAACAATGAACAAAAGAGATATGTACTGCCCGTTGCTAAACCAGTGCCAGTTCGTACACAAAAGCGTTTATTCCGCTGCGCCTTCAGCTTATGTCACGGTTACTGTAACCGTTTCCGCCTACTAAGGCGATCCTGAGTGTCAATACTAAGGTATCATTCCAAAAGTCGGCATTAAACAAACATTCAGCTACTAGCTTGTTCACTAAAAAATCAGCCAAGAACATCTGTGAATTTTTACAGATTTATGACTTTTTTTTATCACTATTAATGAGTTGAACACAAGTTCTTTATTGTCATTGTTTATACTTATTTTTAAGCTTAAATCATAAGTCAATATAAATTCGTTACATTGTATACTTTATTACAGCACTTTATACTATTTTATTAGATGTTGCTACATTACAAATCATTGGTAACAGGAATACCATTTATGTTATTATAGTATTAATAATTTCTTATAATCTTTAATTGTGATGCAGACATGATCACACTGATACTGGGTCTGCCTGTTTACAATTAAAGAAGAATCACTATAGTAAGTAACATTTATGAACTTAAATGACAGGAGCCTCTTCTTTCTCTGTTACTGTATTAATGAGATATGGACAGTCATTTGCCTGCAGTAAATGTAACGACAGCACTGTCTCTCCGTCCACCATCCGCAGCTACTTGCCCTGTCTGGCCCGCTTCTTCCCACCTCCCCAGCCGCCACTCAGCTGAACGGGGTTGTCCCGAAATGAGATGCGCTCCTTTATGGATGGGGCAGAGGTAGCTCCGGCAGACAACAGCGCCGCCCTTCCTGCCAGGTGGGTAAAGCACATGCATCAGACACAGGAGGCTCAACCCAGCGCTAAGATCTTAGTCCCACGGCTCAGCTCACATTCGGCCGCGGGGCCAAATGCAAACATGGAGAACAAGGCACCTCTTCTCCAGAGCTTGATGTGTTCCACGTGTGAATCTCATGTCCAGCCTCAGACAGACAGAGGGGTGGGACAGGGTGAGAGCTGGAAAAACCAGCGGACAGATGGACAGGAGACAGGTGAAGATCAGGACCTGTGACATCTCAGTCACGTCCCGCGGGTCTGTAAGACGGCTGAAGCCTGCATTACTCTGCCTGGCTGATTGTGTTCTGCTCTTCTCAACTCACTTCCTTATTGTCCATCGTCATAGCGATGGAATCCGATATTTGCAAGACTTCCATGATGTTTGGGATTATGGCGGAAAACTGGCCCTAATCATCGGACCTTCACTTCGCAGCTATAAGCCCACAAGCGAGGAATTGGCAGCATCTTCATGCCAGGAAGGTCCCTCAGGGTCACATGCGAATCCTTTCACAGAGCTATTTCAGCGCTTCTGCTACTTATTAAACGATGTCTTGTTTACTTAAGCCTCATGTCTAAGGCAGTGTCTCCCACCCATCTCACTCATACGCACACACACATATGCACACGCATATGCACACGCATACATACACGTGAACTGTCAGCCAGAGCTACGACTGCAATTACACGCCATGTTTTACGGCAATGTGACGTCATTGAGAAATGCATGGACACACGCAGAGTCTCAGCCATCGGACACTTGAAAGCCATCCACTCACAAGCAAAGATTCTCTCTTTATTCCCAGGCCTGACATTTCCGATTAGGGTTGAAGCGTTGGCTGCTGTATAAAATGTGTCATTGACTTTTCACCTCATTTACACATGCACGCACACGCACGCACAGACCTGTATGCGTATCTTTGTGGGGACCATCCATTCATTTCTATGGGAAAAACCCTATTTGCATCAATGAGAACTTCAACCCCTACCCAGCCCAAACCTTAACCAAAAGTAACCATAAATAAAATACAAGACTTTTAGCACTTTTAGTTTTTTGATTACAGTCACAGATTTTTATAAAATTGAGCTTCCCCTTGTGGGGACTGAAAAAATGGTCCCTACAACGTCAACATGTTTTTATCATATTGTGGGGACATTTGGCCCCCACAATGTAACATATACCTGGACCACAAACACACACACACAAAACATCTATAAAGCCATCGGCCACTTTAGATCCACCAGGGTTTTGCCTCACTGGTCACACTCGGACTATTTCACATAAAATCAGATTTCACTTCAGTCGTCATTGAGATCCAATCTGTCTGCCTGAGGATGAGCGGCTCTCTGCCATGCCGAATGAGCAGTCCCCCCCGCTATCCCAACAGACGTTTCTGTGAGCGGCTGCCCTCCCTGGCTCTCTGTAGCATCTTTGTCGCTGCGGCTGCTCAGCAAGTCCTTTGACAGGCTTAGCTCTTCTCCAGCCTGAAGGGCTTTGGCACTTCCCGCTAAAACCGACCCTCCTCCGGCTGCCCCCCGCACGCTAAAGCCGACCCTCCTCCGGCTGCCCCCCACCTGACCTAACCCCGCCTGACCAGCCCAGGGTATGGAATGTATTACCGCTACACTACAAACACCCTAAACACTCAATCAACCATAATAAACAATAAAACATACCACTCAATAAAATATCGAGACTTCTCCCAGCAAAAGATATAAAAGTACAAGGAATTATTTATGAATCTACAAGGTAACTGTTGTTCATAATTCTGTTCTAAACCTCATTTGCTTGCAGGATACATTATTGAATTCAGGTCTTGATTATGTGCATCCAAACTATGCCAAATATTTATTATAGTCAATGACTCAAACAAAGAGAAATGCGTGAAGTCCTGAATTCTTCCCCACACTATCCCCAAGAGGAGAGAAAGATAAAGTGACTGTATATCACACAACAGCAACAGAAACATGCATACCCAGAATAATACAATAAACCCGATATAGTTTTCATTTCCAGTTTATCCAGCTCCATCAAAACGAAATGCAGGAAAATGAAAAGGCAGAAGGGAAACCCCCGGAAGATGCTCTGAAAGTTCATCATCTGGGTCGGTCTGATGTACCTCCTCACTTAAATAGCTGAGATTCTTCACTGGGCAAATGGCAGAAAAAGACCCCCCCCCCCCCAGCTGCGGTACTGGGCTCTGAGCCGGCCTGTGGACTCACTCGCGTGCCCCAGCAAGGGTCTCCCCGCTGGATTGTGTTCTTTGCGACGTGGAGACAAAGCAGTGCCACTGGATCCAGACAGACTCTCTTGATCTGGGCCGTCCCTAGATCCAGAACCCGCCTCGGCACAGTGGGGGAGAGCAGACACATGCATGAAATGAAACACGCCATTTCCCCGCTAGACAAACAAACACCGACCAGCAAGAACATGAGTTCAGGCCAGAAGAGTTAAAAAAAAACTGGGAATAATGTCCTGAACGACGTGCCCTAGACTTTATGGGCATCATAATGTGAAGGCTGTATGTAGCTTAGCTCTCACGCAGACGGAAAACAAATTTTGACATTTTCATTAAGTAAAAGATTACTGTTCAGATAGTTCATTCATAAATGTTATTAACTTATTCATTTAACGTAACTAAAATAAATCATGTACTGTCTTACATACGATATCTCGGTAAGACACAGCTTTTAATCATTTACAATAGTTGTACACGCGTGTGATATATTTATGCCTCAGAGTGGACCTGAATGTGTTACAGTGGTGAGATACAACAAGACAGTACATAAGGACTCTGTTACCATGAGCTGGACCCTGCCACCATTCAGGACATCGAGGTTGATCTCCGGCAGGAAATGCTCACTGAAAGGCATTAGCGCATCATCATAAACATAACCTTAACCATAAGCATCATCATAAACCTGCTCCTCTCATAACGGTCGTCATGTACAGTCAGGGGGCGCCACGGACTTGGCCAAACACAGCAGCCCAGAGATGTTCATGGGCTCTGAAACTGGCAGTTTAAAGTGGCCAGCAAGAAATTCTCAAACATTTATTCCATGCATCAGAGCCCTACATGCATCTCTCATAGCGCAGTAATCACACCTCTCTGTGGACACCGGCTGTCCTCGGTGAGACAGAACCGGCTGTGCCGACCCTCCGATCAGCACGTAACCCTCACCTCTCTGCGGACACTGGACGTTCATGCCAAGGGATGGATCCAACGTGATGGCAGTGCCAGGCCTGAATGCTGCTCTCATCTGTATTGAGGAGAAGATTCATTATTAACATTAAAACCCAGGCAACAATTAACATCGAACTATGACTTAATTTAGGGTTCTTTCTCCAACAATATCACCTTCATTCTGATAGAAAATTAAATATTATCAATATTAGTAAAAATACCACAATGAAACAGCAGTGAAATATTAATGGAAACACAATCTCATTAAAGAGGTGCTGATATGATCACATAATCTCATTGTCAGCACCTCTGTTCCTTTTTCCATGAACTTTACAGACAAATCCTTTCAGCTGGCAGATCTGCTGGCTTCAGATGCATCGTCCCTCC